GACTTTGAGGTCAAGGGTTTGAATCTTGGAAACAGCCTCTTGCTGTAATGCAGTGAAAGGGCGGGCACACATCACACAGTTATGCTGCGCCTCCTCGTACCCTTGCTAAGGCATGTTTCGTTTACCGAGCAACCTCTTACATTAAATTATATCAGTCAACAAATTGATGAGTATGTAGTTTTACTTTCTACACGTCTGCGAGCCATTTTAAATACTCCTTTCATCCCCAGAATAAATTGAAACTTTGACTTCATAGAGTTTAAGAGAAGTACTGGAAAAATGAAAAGTGTGGACGGAAGTTGCTTAGAAGTGAAAAGTTCTGGTGTTAATTCATAAGAGGTGCATGCCGGCCTGCCCTAGCTGGGGCAGAAAGGCAATGAAGATTCGTAAGGGGGTTATGCCGTCTGAGCCGGACATGCTAAGACAGGTTGATGATGTCGTCTTGATGTACAGTTTTCTATTACTTGAAAACCACAGGCCTTTCGAGCAATACATTGTTAATGGGGAGAGCATTTATGGGCAATCTGTTGACAATGGGGATTGAGAGTAGGTTGTTTTATTGATGCAAAGTAGTACATGGGTGTCCAAGGACGGCTTGATCATGGTACTAAGGTGTACTGTCAGTCCCGTATTGTGTGGCCAATCTATTTCGTCTAGATTTATGGTACTAAGGTGATGAGAGCCATGCCAAGGCATCTGAAGCAGACCTAGCACAAGTCTGGATAGAAGCCGGGTATGCCGAGGCATGCCAAGGCATCAGTACCAAACTACCGATGGCCAAAAGCATCTGTTATTTTCTTTTTCTCTTTGTTATTCAAAGAATTAGGTAGCACAGACCTCCCAGAAGATGAAGATCTTAATGCTCTTATAGGGGCTCGCTCTGGCTTCTGTAAAACTCGAAATGACCGGTTGAGTCCACTCCTAAGACAAGTCACAACAAGCCTATTGATGTAGCCCCCAGTTTTTTCATTTCCCTGCGAACACAAAGTTAGCAAGACTGCTGTTTGATTAAAATGAAAGCTAACACACTTGCCACCACAGACTATGCGCTTGAAATGCAAGGGATTATTTCAAATGAAGAAATTATGAATGAAAAAAGGGCATCTGAATGTGAATGAGGAGATAGAATTCTAATGTTTACCAAATAAAATGATATAGCCAACATAGCATACTCCAATTTCCCATACCTGTGTGAACGAGAATGAAACCAATCTAGAATTGCCAAGCCATCGCAATCCCCTAACAACACTGCTATGGGCATAGAAACTAGCAGCAACAGCATTCGCGGAGACGTCTATAACATCAATGGTACCACTTTGAGTTCCCAAAGCAACTAATGGAACTGCTACAGCAGGAGAGTTTCCCCCACCTTCATGGTTGTGCCACTCGCTATTTAGTCCACAAAATTTAATGAACTCCTACAAGCTCTTTGTAAACATTGAATTAAACGAACACATAAAATGGTCAAGGATGGTACGCACGTGCCAATGTAGCGGTTAGTGAAGGAGATGGAACAGCAAGCATAGTCACTGCTGAAGAAAGAAGATGAAGCTGCCCGACTAGCATAATCTGCATCAAGATGTTAGACCTTGAACTTGGAAGAAGACATGAATAGATTTATCTGAAACAAAGACTACATAAAATGGACCAAGTCCACCACCACTATGGTAAGGATTAGAATATTCAAAATTGTAGACATTAGTCTACAACAAAACATACAAGGCTCTCACAATGTCATCTTGAATGACATTGAAAGTGCACTTGGAATCACTGTGAGGATGGTAAAGATTCAACAATAGACCTAATAGCAGTGCAAACACATGTGTTTGCTTGAGTTTTTAGTTGGAAAAAAACAGATTTAAAGCATAAAGAAAATTCACATAGTTAAGTGTCAAATCAATACTCTTGTAAAATGCTAGGACAAATGGAACAGGTGGATCTTGAATTTGTCTAAATAATCACTAAGTTAATATTGCCAAATCAGTACTGATCCAAGCCATTAAAGTCCCACCCCGTCCTCTCTTTTAATTACTATCCAAGCACTCAGATACCAAGCATCTATATACAAATGGAAAGTTTGAAATTCAGCCTTTTAAACTTATGAGTTATTTATAGTCCTTAAAATATACTTCGTATCATATAGTCCTTATGTATGGGAAGGAAACTTCTTACGTTAGAATGTCATATGTTCATGCACAAACCTTAAATGACAGTTCATCTCTTTTAGAAGCCTTTGACAGACAGCTCCTATCGGAAGGCAGAAAAGCCAACTGATGATTACCCTGTGCTTTACATACATCTACTGCAATGCTGAATTTGTTCGCATTCTTTTCTGCATTTCCAGATCCTTCAGCAGTTAGGAGCCATTTCCATATTTTCCCATCATCAGATATTGAGACTAAAGGTGTTTTTGAAATTACAGGAGATTCATCAAAATAGTCAAAAGGATTATCAGGTTCTAGATAAGGTGAATGATGTCCATCTGAATATAGCTTGCTGATACTCTGAAGAGTAGAATATGAGTGAGAGATAACAACTGCAAGAACTGAGGGAGATGGGACAGATGTGCCAATTGAGGGTATCAGTTCTTCCATAGTACCCATCACATATACTTGTTCTCCTCTGTTAAAATTGCAAAATATATGTTCCCTTGAGTTCTTCAAACAGGTTAAGCTTTGAATATTGTTATGCAGCAAAGTGAGAAGTCATATCATTAGCTTCACAAGATATCATGGGGTTTCAGACACTGAAATTGTGACTAAACACGAGCCAGCAAGAGAAAACTAATAAGGATTTAGTAGTTAGTACAATGAAAAACATTGCTGCCTACTGCTTTAGAAATATATTGAACACAAATTCAACAGTAAGTTTTGTATGGAACCTATAAACACAGCAAATTTTATTGGCACATTATCTTTAAGGAAATGAGAACCATTTTCCAACAATACCGTAGAGAAATGACAACAAATATCAACTAAGTCTTAAGATTGTTTGAACATAAATTCTACTACTAGAATATATTTTCATAGAATCAATCCATGTGGCAGAGTATAAGGACAACAACAACAACATTACCCCAGTGCCTCATAGGCTCCCACCCATTGCGGGGTAAGGGGGTGGGATGTACGCAACTTGACCCCTATGTTTAAAACACATAGCTTCTATTTCTAGATGACCCAGGATAAACGTCTAAATTTGCATTAACTAACTGCTACTTCACTATTAAAAGAAGCTTATACAGTTTAAAGAATCAATTTGCTTTATTCCATCATACCCTAAAGCCCAAATTAGTGAAGCTTGAGCTTCATCTGAGATTTGGAGATGATGGAAACAGTATGCATTCAAGGAATATTGGTACGAATCAGGGGTTCAAGAAACATAAAAGTCAAATGTACCACTTACTCCTTTCTCTGCCAAGTACTGAGCTTCCCATCAAGATGAACACAGTAAAGAACCTCAATATTGGCATCAGGTAACACTTCCAGTAACTTGCCACAACCCCTTGGCAGCCCAGTAGAGTATAGCTCCGTTTCATAAAGCAAATCAAACACAACCAGCTCCCTCGGAAATGCCACAAAGAGGATATGCTTCCAGTGAGGTGAAAATGAAAATCGCACAACATACTTTGGGAATGTCGCCAATGCCGGAGCTCCTGTGGAACCAGTAGTTAAATCCCTCTCTAGTTTCTGCAATTCCGAAGCATCTGTGCGGATTTGCAACTCTTTGAGTGCAATGTCATCATGGGAATCTCCTAGGGCTTTAACAGAAAGCAAGAAACCCTTAAGCCCAATAGCACAGAAACGCCGAGAGTCAAAGGGATCGCGGCGAAGACAGGATAAGTACTCCGGGGAAGAATCGTATTTGAAGAAGCAACGGCCAGTGCAAGTGTTGAACAAACAGAGGAGAGAAGGTCCGGCTATGGCAGCGAGGATCCACGATTCGGGTTCTGTTTGGACCCAGCAAAGGTCCTGAATCCCTAGGTTTTGGGTAGAACTGATTTCGAATGAAATAAGAGGCGATTTAGACCTAAAATCGAGGATACAAATCCGTCCCTGGCGGTCTCCAACGGCTATGGTGAGGTGGTGGCTCGTGGTGTCGGAGGAGATCAGATGCCGAGGAAGACCGAGCGGGGACCACCGCAAGGCGGTGATGAAGGAGGCGATAGCAGGGGAGGGTGCGGAGGAGAACAGAGGAATGGTGGTGATGAGCTGCATGGAGTGGGTTTCGACCACGGAGATTGAGCTGCCGGCTGCGTAGGCGAGGAGGCCGGTGGTGGATAGGTCTGCTGCTCCGCCGTTGCTGCGGGATGGTGGGCCCGGGAGCATGCAGTCCCATGATTCACTAGGTGGTCCGTGGATCGACATCTCGCACTGATATTATGGTGTAGGGCAGTAGGCCGATTGAACAATGCAGCATAGAATCTGGCCGGATCCGGCGAGAGAACGGAGAAATCGGTGGTTCCACGGAGGCGATCAAAATTCTCAGGCCGAGCAGACGGGAGGGATGATGGCACGTTAAGGAAGAGGGACTCATATGATCGCCTGTAAAGAAATACGGTTGGGTTTCATTTTGGAACCGTTATTACTGGTTCCCATTTCTAAGGAAATTTTCCTTTCTTCTTGTCCCATATGATGACACGATCAATTACTCCTATCAAACCCGTAAAACATGTACATCATATTCCAAAATAGTCCCCTAAATAGGAGTTAAATTAGGAAAATATAAAATCAGACCACACCCCCCATTCTCAATCTGACACTATGCTCAACCACAACTCTCTTCTTCACTGCCGTATCTTTGAAGTCAAAGAAAATGAGCTATAATGACAAAGAAGAAGGGCCGACGATAAGGATAGATCTGGGAACCACTTACTCTTGTGTCGCCAACCAATCACACCATCGCCGCTGCCGCTGCCGCCGCCAAATAACAGCACCCGCCGCCATGCACCCCTACCCATCTTAGACTTTTCGTCGCTTGCTCAACGTCTCCCTTTTGCTGCCAACCCCTTCTTCTATAGATTAGAATCGTTGCTGCCGCCACCCACCGTGACCTTATTGCAACGCCATCGCTGCCGCCATGCACCCCACCCTCTCAGATTCATCGCCGCACTCGTGTCACGCTGCCCTCCTCCATCTCTCTTCCTCAAAGCATGATTTTAAATGTAAGTTTTTTTTCTCTCTTGATCTTTAATTAATTGAATTCTGTTTCCTTCGAAATTCTCGTTGGCATTCGTGGAGTGCATTGATTTGGCATTATGTCATTGTGTAACATTGTGACATTATATATGAGCATACGTGGCATTATATATGGGCATCTATGGTATTATATATTGTCATATGTGACATTATGTGGTGCCATGTTTGACATTATGTCTTTCTTTGATATTGTATTGACTGTTAATGTGGCACTGTAGCAATGATGGTACAGATTGTAATGATAGTGTCGTTGATAATGGTATACAATGGTGATGTCGTCAGTAGTGACAATGAAAAATCAAAGGCGTCAATGGTAAGTTTCGATAGTAGCGGTGCGGTGGGGCGGAGCAGAGGACGGTGGTGGTGGAAATTCAAGTGATAGTGGCAGGGATGCAGCGACGAAGATGGCGATAGTGGGCATCACCGTCGACGATGATCGATTGCGGTAGTGGGCGTCGCCTTCGGCAGCACGCTGTTGTGAAGTTGGCCGAACTTTTTTTAGTTTTTGGACTTGGCCACCACCGGCGGATCTATTGCTAAACTAGCTAATGAGGTAAAAGTGGTGATCTATTTGAATTTGGTTATCTAATTCATGTAAGAGATATTATTAGATTTATTGAACTTTCACAAATGATTCAAACACTCTTAACATATTAGTGTCTCCTGTATTAAAAGAGAGAGAACTTTTACTAACATGTCTTTCACATAAACATCTCCATGTGCAAGTCCTACATCTATTTACAAATTAATCAAGTATACCTGCACCACCAAGTCCAGACTTAGGGGCTGTTTGGTAACTTCTGAATAGGTAAGTGCTGAACCAGTAAAAGATCTGAACCATTAAGTGCTGAACCAGTAAGAGGTCTGAACCATTAAGAGCTAGTATATTGTTTAACTATTCAGAGGCAAATGTCTGATCAATTCAGATAAGAGCTCTTAACCATTCAGACTCTGTATAATACTTAACCATTCAGAGGTAAATCTCTTAACCATTCAGACATCTGAACCATTAAGAGGCTGAAACAAACAGTCTGAACCATTAAGTGCTGAATCATTCAGACATCTGAACCATTAAGAGGCTGAAACAAACGGCCCCTTAGACTGAAGAATTGTTTGCCCATATATGGAGGTGGGATCCATTGGTAAAGATTTTTTATTTGCACCCAAGTTCACTTCTCCTTTTATGTCCTACAACATTCAAAAGATATCAGCTTGAAGGATCTAACAGACCACATGGGAAGAAGGTACGGGAAAATGAGCATTTCTTATTTGTTTTATTAATTAATTTAATTACTCCTATTTAGAGGAGTTTAAGTTTGAACTCTTATTTTGAGGATATGACATATGTTTTACTCCTAGTTTGGTCCTTCTCCCATTAGCTTTCCTCATTTCGATCATCTTTTAGTACGGAGTAAAAAAATGAGTGTTTTTTTTAAATTTTTACTCCGTATTTTAACATTTTACTTTTAAACTAAACTAAAATAAAATTTGAGTCATGGGCCGGCTTTGGCGTGTAAACACCTATTACACCGAGTCCCAATCAGGGGGTATTCCTCGTCGAGACCAGTTGTCAAATCAGACGTCGAATGTCTAATTTTCTCTCACACCGCACAATCTTAAGAGTTAAGAGCTCAATTTAGTAAAATAGGCTATATTAGTTTTAAAATATGAGTAAAAGATAATAAAATATTTAAATAGAAGTTATATTTTTTTATGACCTAAATAGACAGGAGTTTCTATTACTACTTTGACAATATACTCTGCACACCACATACTCCATCATCACACTGTCACTATTTATACTTAACAATCATTCATGCTAAATAAATGATACGTACACTATTCATGTGGTCAAATTTTATTCTATCTCTTTATCTGTTACTCCGTATATATGGTAGTTATAATGATGATGATGATAACAATAATAATAATAATAATGTTAATAACAACAATTACAATTATAATAAGAATGACATGTAAAATAAATAAATAATTTTTTGATGATTATAATTTATTTAGCTTGAAGAATGCTTATATGGTGTACCTTTGGTGCCTACCACCATTTTCGTGCATTTTCTCACATAATTTGTTTAAAATTTCTAAATAAAATAAAGTCATAAAGACAGTCAAAATTTGCATTTGCTTATTTGCGTATAGGCAAGTCCAATATGGACCATAGATTCTTCATAGAATTTGTCTGGTTTGAAGAAGTCAAACTAAACGAACACTCAAGAAGGAAGTAGTATTTATCATCAGTCAAGCGAATTGGCTTCAAAGTGTTTGTTTTTTAAGGTCATTGTCTTTTCAAAAATGTATTGGATGACACGTAATCTCGCTTTCTTGTTGTATCGCCCTTGAAAACCAATGAAGTCATTGTTGTTGGCTTTTGTACATGGAAAATCAATCTAATTTGGCATACGCACTATATCATTAGTCTAACCCACTATGCAATTACTACAGGGTATATCACAAGGGGATAATAATAGTCAAAATGTCAAACAAAGTTTGCCCCAGCAAGAGAATTTATTTAGTAACAAAGGTATAATAATAATAATAATAATAATAATAATAATA